GGGTCGGGGTTGGGGTTGGGGCCTCACAGGCGGCGCGGTCTCCGTTGGTCCGGGGGTTGATCTCCGCCTTGTTTTGCCGCCCCCGCGTGCCGGTCACCTGCTCCAGGTGGTAAATGTGCTCCAAGCAGAGGCGTGGGTTGAAAGCGAAGTAGATCTTGCCCACGGGAATGGTGAGCCCCGCCGCCACCCAGGACCCCAGTTGCTGCAGGTTCTGGTTGTCCAGCACGTACAGAGTGTAGTTCCTGGGGGCCGGAGGGGACCTTGTTCCAAACGGGAGGTGGGGGCGGGGGTGGGAGGAGGTGCCCTAAGGGCTCCTCTTGGGAGTGTAGGGATGGTGGGATAGAGGGAGCTGGTCAGAGGCTTGCTTCTGACCCCTTACCCATCCACCATGGCATCTCCCCGGATTAGTTTGAGGTTCTTGAAAAAGCCCAGGGACACGAGGGCAAAGGAGTGCTTGATTTTGAGGAAGCCAGTGATGGTCTCCACCAGCCCCAGGCTGTGCTGCAGCTCCTGCTCCAGGTTGTCTGGGGAGAGGGAGGACAGGGCTGGAGCAGGGGCAGGGACAGTGGTGGGTCCCACAGGGCAGGGGGCTCAGTGGGATGCAGTTTTGGGGGGTCCTCAGCTGGGGACCCAGGGTAATGGGAAGTGGTGCTTTAGCTGGGCCTCTGTAAGGGGCGTGGCAGGGAGGAAGGGCAGGGCCGGGAGAGAGGTATGGCCCCGAGGGAGGTACTGACAGCCCTGGCGAAGATTGAGGATGAGACTCCCCTCCACGTGGGTGCAGCCCACCAGGTCTTGTGCCACCTGGACGGAGTCGATCGTCTTGGTGCCCACCTTGCACTCCTTGGGGCACAGCCCCTCACACTTGTGGCAGAAGATGCTGGCAGGGGCAAGCAGAGGGTGTGGCATGAGCCCTGGACCAGGGTGGACCTTCTTGGTACTCCCAGGGTGACCCCCGCCCGCCCTCCGCTCACCTGCTGCCATTACGGGTGAAGCCTGGAGGGCACTGGGCCAGGCAACTGCCCTGGTGGATACCAAAGGTGGAGGGGAGGCTGGGCACAGAGCGCAGGCTGGCACAGAGCTCGGCTGTGACACAGCGCCACGACTCATGCTGGTAGGTGCCTGGAGGGCAGGCCTGGTGGCAGGTGCCCTGGAAGTAGAAGTGGCGGCAGGCAACGCAGGCACTGGGGTCATCCGGCTGGCTGCAGCCCCCCAAGCATTCGATGTGGCAGCACTCACCCCCAGCTGTGCAGGCCAGCCCGTGGGGACAGGGGCACACTGTGGGCAGAGTGCGGTGTGAGACTGCGTCCAGCCTCCTCGGCCCTGGCCCCAACCCCTCCCTCTGGGTAACCCTCTTAGTCTGAACCCAGACCACTCCCATTCAGATAACACTGGCTGCTGACTTCCTCAGGCAGGGGCTGCTGAGGACAAGGACCGTGGCTCCCCCCTGTGGCTTCCCACCTCCCACAGTGCCTAGTCAGGGGTGTCAGAACTCAGCACAGAGCAGTGACCTTGTCCATCAGGGCTGCTGCTCCCCCGCCTGCTGTCCTGTCTAGGCCTGGTGCCCAGATCATCGCTGGGCATGGCGCCAGGGGGAAACAGCCAGCTTCTCCTGGGTAGCTTGGCCCAGGGCAAGGTGGGCCTGGGAGTGTGTGGAAGAAGGGGCCACCACTGGTCATTTCCCCCAGGCCCCTGTCCAGACCTCCTCCCTCCTCAGCTCTCTGCCCTGGGGGGGAGGCAGCCCCAGGCAAAAGTGGGTGGTTTGGGGGCCGGGGAAGCGAAGGCCTGGGAATCTGCACAGGGGCAGCTGTGTGTCTGCGGGAGCGTGCATGTGGCGGGGGGTCAGCCAGGGCGTGTTGACACTGTACACGCGAGAGGCCATGAGAGAGGACGCGCAGCAGCTGTGTTTACAGCCAACAGGGAGGCTGCAGGGAGGTGGGGCTGGGAGGATACAGTCGGGATCTGGTTACTCCTCTGCCCTCGGCCTGGGAATCTGCACAGGGGCAGCTGCGTGTCTGCGGGAGCGTGCATGTGGCGGGGGGTCAGCCAGGGCGTGTTGACACTGTACACGCGAGAGGCCATGAGAGAGGACGCGCAGCAGCTGTGTTTACAGCCAACAGGGAGGCTGCAGGGAGGTGGGGCTGGGAGGATACAGTCGGGATCTGGTTACTCCTCTGCCCTGAGGCTGAGGGTGAGGGAAGCTGATCTCCAGAAACTGTTGGAAAGAGCCCCAGTTTGGGGGACCCCCACTCTGCTCCCAGACTCTGAAAGGTCTGCCTCCCCTCCCCTAGAACTTTCAACTCCTCCTCCCCCCACCATCCCCTCCGTATCCTACTCCCCACTTTCTCCCCTCCCTTCCTTTTGTTTCCTCTCCGTGCACTTTACTTCCTAAAGAAGTTCCCACCTCACTTATTTGTCCTCCTCTGTCCTGTCCTTCATCTGCCGCCCCCTCCTTTCTCTACCCAGCTCCCAACCTCCCCCGTACAACACTGCCAGCTCACCCTGGGCACCTGTGCTGTGGTCCCTTTTCTCAGGACCGGAGCTGCTACCACAGCCTAGGTGGTTTATAGAATAGCTCGTTCCTCGTAGCAACTCGACCATCTTTTTACAGATAAGGAAAGCGAGGCACAGATAGGCTAAAAGAACACAGCCGGTAAGTAGTGGAGCTGAGATCTGCACCGGGGCCATCTGGCTTTGTACTTAACCACTGCCCTAAACTGCTTCTTGTGCTGCTGTCTTGTAGCCATCCATGCCTACCCTTCCCCCCATGCCCACCTTGTACCTGCCCTTGACTTTCTCCATTACTATCTGATGTCATCTAGTGCCCACATCTTGACTACCTTATGCTACAACATAGTTCCTGCCTCATAGGATGACTGAGGACTAAAACGAACAGTGCGTTTAGTCTACTGACCCACACCACCCTGTGGCCACCCTCCGACCCTGCCTTCCCCGCGCCCCCGAGTTGCGTTCTGTGCTAGTGCCCACCTCGCTGGCAGTGGCTGGAGGTCCAGCACCTGTAGTCGGTGTGCCCACTGAAGGTGGTCCTGGCACAGGGCTCGCCAGTGGCGCCCAGCACCCCGGGACACACATCGGCACACTCCTCGCCCAGCTTGTTGCCCACGATGTGGTTGGCGCCGGGGGAAGGCTGCAGCAGGCCCCAGTCAATGGTGGAGAGGTGGCAGAGCTCCTGGTTTTTTTCCACGCGCACGGCTCCACGAAGCACAGTCCCCAGGGCGGGCAGCCCCACGTCCCGCAGGTGTGGCATCTCAAAGATGACTAGCGCGTAGCCCAGGAAGAGGCGGGCGCCGCGGATGACCGCTAGGTTGGGGAAGAGGTCACGCAGGCTCTCCAGGCCGTAGACACGGAAGAGCAGCAAGTACTCGGTGACTTGAGTGAGGCGCGGGAAGCTGAGGCCACGGAAGTCCTCGCCGGTGGCCGTGAACATGAGCAGGATCTGCAGGTGGCCTTCCACCACACTGCAGTTCTCCAGCCGCCGCAGCTCTGCCACCTCTGAGCGGATGTCCAGGCTGGGGCACACTGTGGGCACGCGTGGCAGGCCGTGGTCAGGACAGCCGGGGCCAAGCACTTCGCCCCACCCCGCAGCTCTGGGAGCAGAACAGGGAGGTTCTGCTGTGGGTGTGGGGTGCCCTCCCCTCAGGGCCTCGGAGGCCTCATGGGCAGCTTGAGGGGGCTCTACCAGATGAGCAGATGAGCCCCCCTCACCCACTCTCCCTTCCCCATGGACTGCCGCTTTATTCTTGCAGCAGACTCCAGATCTAAAGCCATGCTGACTCCTTTCCTTTTCTCACACCCACCGCGTGGGCTCTGTCTTTAACACACATCCAGAATCCAACAGCTGGTTGACAGCTTTACGGCTTTCACCATCACCTTCTCCTGGATTTAGCCTCCCAGATAGTCACTCCACTTCCACCCTGTCCCCTCTTCGGTCTATTCTCCACTTTATGGCAGAACGATCTTCTCAGAACAGAAGTTGGGTCACATCCCTTCACTGCTCAAAACATCCCAGTGGCCCCCACATCACTGTGAAAAGCCGAGGTCCTTACCACAAGTCCTCTAGCCTCACTGCCATCCATCATCCCCTTTCTCTCTCTCCTGCAGCCACACCGACCCCTGCCCCCCTCCACCCCAGTGACACTGGTGACACGCCAGCCAGACTTGTCCTGAGGCCTTTGCAAGTTCTGTTCCCTTGGGCTAGAAACTCTTCTCTCTAAACAGCTCCCTCAGCCCCTTTAAGTCTTTGCTCAAATGTCACCTCTGACCATCCTGTTAAAACTGTGACACGCCCTACCCCTTCCCACTTTATTTTTTCCATGATTCTTAACACTGGCTAATATATAATTCATTTATTTTGTTTACTGTAAGCTCCAGAAAGCAGGGATCTCTGTATAATCTCTGCTGTGTCCTAGTACAGTGCTTGGCACTTAACAAATATTTGCTGAATGAATGAATGAATTCTGTGACTGGGAATCGGTAGTCTGAGTCTCATACACTCTACTTCTCCCCCAGACCTAAAGGAGCTAGATGCCTGCTCCCTGCATTTGTTTACTTTCAAAGGGACATTCCATGGCTCCCCATTGCCAAAAGTTCAAGTTTAAATTCCTCAGCCTGACATTTGGGTGTTGAGAAACTGGTCCCACTAATCTCTAAAGCCTCAGAAGGGTTCCTCACCCCGTAGTACCTTCAGCTCTTGTCCTGCAGGTCTCAGGTCGGGTCCCCTGCCCCTTCCCTGACCCTCTGACCCTGAGTTAATCACTTTCCCTTCGGGCTCAGCAGCACTTAGCCGGGCACCCACACTAGACTACCTGGGGCATTGCCTCCACATTGCTCTCTATATCTCTGCCACCCCCTCCAAGGACATCTTTTGAGGGCAGGGCCCTGGTTAGTTGTCTCTGCATCCCCCATGGTACCCAATTCAGGGCTGGAACCACTGGGCACTCTGGAACTGTCAGTTGAATTGATGGACATCTGGATCCCAAGTCCACTCCGTGAGGATCCGATATGTCTGGCTTCTCCGGAGTCCCAGTCCCACTTCCTTTCTCTCCCCAAGACACTGGCGACCGTTCCCCTCAGTGGGCTACCTGGTCCCTGCACTCACTTGCTCCCAAGGGTACTCTTCGTGCTCCCAACTTGGAACCATTCAAGTCTGAATTCTTCCACTTGCCATTCAAGTCCTGCTAACCTCTCCAGCCTCTACTCCCTCCCTTTCTACCTAGCCCTCAGCAACACCACAGGGGTCACCCATAACAGGCCCATCCCTCATGGCTAAAAGTGGGGTGGACAGGAAAGGCTAGCTCCCTGGAGCTTACTCCACACCTTCTCTAGTGGTCACTAATGGTCCCTGTGCTTAGCTCTGCCCAGCAACTCTATGAGTGTGTGTGCGAGCACATGCAGGTACACGCACATACACAAGGGAGAGGGAGAATGAGAAAACACTTCTAGCCCCTCCACACAATGGCCAATCAGGCTCTTCGAGGCAGATGGGGTTTCTCTCTGTGCCCAGTGCCACTTCCCATCATCCCCTCGGCCTCTCTAGGGCTCCCCTGATGGGAGTCATTTGGAAAAACAAATCTCCGACCTTCACAGTTTAACCCTCGCCTGCTTCCCCTTAGGGCATGGCCCTGTGCAGAGCTGCACTGGGAATAGGACATCTGGGTCCCTGATCAAACACCCACCCCTCCATCCCCCACCCCAGGGACGTGCTCCTGTCCTGACAACCATGATTCTGGCTGGCATTTTCTGTGCCCAGCCCTGGCACAGCAGCGGAGGAGGGGAAGCGGTGCCAGGGAGGGACTAGGCCTTGAAGAGAGTGCCTCTATGACTCTTCAGGGACCCCCTATCCCAACCCACTTGCACCATTTCTGTCGGTGTAGGATGGGAAGACTCCGCCCCCCCCCCCAAGCCCCCTGTCTTAGGGCCTCAGGCAGGCACTGGATTTGCTGCTGGACTCCTGAGCCCCCTGAGGCTGGGAGGGAAGGGTGGGTTGCCGAAGGGACATCTCTTAATCCTTCCCCTTTTGAATCTTCTATCCTCGTCTTTTTTCCTCTCCTGGCCAATTCCCCAGTACCCCCACGAGGGGCCGTTTAGTCTACAGGATCCGACCCACCCCCGAACCCTACACATGGGGATTGTCTGGCCTGGGGCACCAATAGAAAGGAGCCCACCCCCTCTAGCGAACCGGCCCTAAGTGGGGGATATGGGACACAGCCCTGGAGGCAGGAGCGCAGGACCCCAGTCTAGCCTTCTCTCTCCGTTTCCTGAGCCTGGGTCTCCTGTCTGCACACGGGGTTCAGTCATTTAATTGCGCCTAGTTCTCAGCTGCCATTCCATTCCTGCCCACGGCCCACTCTGGGGCCCTGGGAATGGCCTCCAAGCCCTCCTCCCGCCTTTTGGTTCTCATTCAGGCTCTGCTGGGATCATGATCTCACAAGTTGAAGGGAGGGCATCTGTTCATCTCTGTGCTCCAAGGTCCTTCCCACCTCCCAGGGAACTGAGAGGCAAACACCCTCATGTAGGGAACTAACTGCTCTTCCTATGGGAAGTTCTCCTGAGAGCTAACCCCCGTCTTCACAGGGCAGTAGCTAAATAGACACATGCCAGCTGGAAGCTCAGTGGTTTGGCCTCCCAGCAGGCTGGGGGGGAGATGGGGCTCTAGGAGACAGTACGGGGACTCACCCTCTAGTGTGTCCAGGCCAGATCCCAAGGACAGGAGGATCACAAGCAGACATGCCGCCCGCGGCCACAGTCTGGGCACTGCCATTGCCCCAGTCCTGACTCTCCAGATGGCTCTGGGCAGAAGGGTCTGACAGGCCCTAAGGGACACAGAAACACAAGCTTCGGAGGCGAAGGGAAGGGTAGGGACCCAGCCACAAGGAATCCTCCACAGATACGGCAGGAGACAGAACAAAGGAATGACAGCCACAGAGACAGACAGCGACAGGCAGCTAGAAACGGAGACCCGGCGTGAAGCCAGAGGCAGAGAGGAGAGGACGGAGACGCAGGCAGCAGGGGAAGAGGCTCAGAGAGGCCCCATGGGGAGGTGGTCGCACAGGGTGCAGAGCAAAGGGGTCTAAGAGGCCGACCAGCGCCAAGGGCCAGAGGAGCCCGAGGAGCTTGCAGCGCACGGAGAGCAGCGGGGGTCCGGGAGCGCACGGAGAGTCTTCCCGGGGCTCCAGGGGTGCGCTCTGCTCCCAAGTGCCCG